AGATAATGCAGGTATCTCCTTTTACAGCCTCCCTGGTTCACTTCAGCATCAATGGGGGTGGGGATGGGGTGGGGGGGCAGTATTCCACAGTTTCACTCTGGCAGACTGACAAACTATTTTACTGAACAGTGTTGGGATTTCAGGCACTGAAACTTAGGCTGCGATGTGTGGAACTGGCTCTTGAGTTGCCAGATAGAATTTCATAGAACTAGAAAGGATGGTCTAGAAGGACCAATCCTACATTCAATTTCTCATTTAGACACCAAATGAGAGGCAAGAGAATCATGAGTTAACAGAAATTTCTAGTAAATGGATACAGGACTTTGACTATTAAATGGACACCCAGTATTCACTGATTTTAAAACAGAAAATAAACCTCCTACAAAGCACTGCTATGAATTTTCTTTACAGTCTGAGATGATCTTCCGATCCAGAGAAGAAATATGGTCCTACAATGTCTGCCTCGGCCAGCCTACCAGCTTGAATCCAGTGGCCTTTTGGGGGTCAGGTAGTTTCTAACTAAGAAAAGGTCAAAAGCAGGTGTTCAGGGAGTTGAAAGACCAAGAAATCATGTCAAACAAGGGACAAGTGGGTCAAATTTTTAATATTTAGCCTATAGAAAACAAGGCTTTTGAAGGACAAGAAATCATCTTTCAAATACACGATACCCGTTGTTTGGAAAAGAGAGGGGTTTTGTTTGACTACCCAGAAACTAAAAGAAGTTGGTCGAATTACTAGTAAATGCCATGTCCAATAAGAATTTCCTTTTTAACTATTGGGGCTTAAGAGCTCTCCTCCATTCTCTCCAAGTCAATGAATATTCAGTGAGGGTCTACTGGGTGCCATTTTAGGTGTTTAAAATACATCAAGGATGAAAGATAAATCTCTGCTCTTCGGGCATTTACTGCTATATTTCAGACGTATGGGGAGACCTTTAATAAGTAACAAAACAAATAGGTAAACCATATATTATGTTAGAAAGGAAGAATGAGGGACAAATAGTTGAATATAAGAAATGAGGAATGAGAGGCGTGGGATTGGGAATGGGACAGGCTGCACTGATAACTGTGGTTCCAGTCATTGAGAAGGCGCTTATATAAAGCAAAACTTCAAGGAAGGAAGGGAGGGCCTCTTGGGGAAGAGCATTCCAGACTGAAGGAACGCCATGAAAAGCCTTCCATGGTTGGATGCACTCGTGAGGAGGCCCCTTTGGAGGGCTTGGCAGAGTTTTAGAGAGAAAGGAAAATGAAGAGGGGGTTCCACCTTTGGGGTTAGAGGTTGGGCTGCTAATGTTTTAGGTCTCTTTCAACTTCTTATAGTCCCTGCACTTTTCTCCTATAACCACAAAACAAAATGAAACAAAAAAAAGTAATAAACTCATGGCCATGTCCTTTGAGGGCTAATCAGCTTTCGCCTACTGCAAGTCTCGAGTTTCCAATATGTCTGTCCGTCTCCCAGTGGCATTAACAGGGGCCCCTCTGGACACTTTCCCAGCCAAGCAGCCCTTGGGATCCCTGGCCCCACAGAGGACAAATGCCAGCTCCTGAGCCTGGAGAGCAGGTCAGGTCATGAGACTGCAGCCGGAACTGGGGGGATGTGGCGCTTGTCCACAGAAGATTCACCAGGGCTCGAAGTTGGCCTGTCCCAGTAATAGTTAAGAGTCATCTGTTCCATGCTTCTGTGTTTATGTTGCACATTTGGGCAAGTCCTCTCCTTCATAGATGAGGCTAAATCCATCTGTCTTTCATCTGAGAAAGGTGGCAACGACCCAACAGATCTTGGACCAAAAGCATAGTGGTTTGTGTTGTTTACAAGAAAGACATTTTCTGTGAGCTTACTGTTTTACAGGGAACTTAATGAGAATTTACGGGGAGGAATTAAACTATTTTCTTTAGCTAATAAATGTTTCAATTATTTTATACCAAGTCTGATTGCTGATGCCTGCCTGTCAGCTCCTGTGGTCGCCCTGCCCTTGGGGTTTCATATGCTAACATGGAACATTTGTCTTGTGGAGACAGTTTGGGGTGCTATATGACCATGGACTCGTTCAAAACCAGGATGCTGTCATTGATCTCAGTTTGTTTGCTTCTATTTCTGTCCTGGCCTTTGTCACTTTGAGTATTCGGTGATTTTCAAGGCGTGTGGCTGTAGCTCTCTCAGGCAGGTCTGTGTTTGAAGCATCTGGTACCAGGGGAATAGTCAAAGAAATCACAAGCCAGAAATCTTGGATGAAATGTTACCCGTCCCTTTTTTTCTTTCTGTTTTTTGTCTCTCAAATCAAAATAATATTTTTGTCTCTTTTCGTTCCAGGTCTTAATTCTTTGAATGTAGCCAGGACCTGCCATCCATTTATTTCTTACAACCAAACCCGCGTTTTGAAAGGTTTCATTTGGGAGATTGTATTTTGAATAACATTGTTTTCATGGGAAAGGGTAGACTTGCCTCTTTGGATTTCCAAGGCTGTAAATCTGTACAGGTGTGCAGAAAGCCTCATCTTTTTCCCTGGGATGGCTGGAGGGCTCTACACCACCAAAGCCTGATTCTCTTATTATTGGGAATTATTAATTCCAAAACTGGCATTAAAGGATGAGAAGCCAGGTCCCAGGGTTCATCGACCCATGTGGTGAAGGAGTTAGAAAAGATTATAAAACAATGTTCATGCTGACCATGCATTCAGATATTTTATAGAAGACTTTGTATAAACCAAATGAAGTATATTTATAGGCCACTTCTTGCCCGAGGCACCTAATTATGAAACTCTTGCATTACAGGAAGTAAAATCAGTTGAAAAACAGAAATGACGTGCTTTAGATATAAAGTCATGGAGTTAAAGTCAAAGGGACTTCCGGGATAAAAGGAGAACTCTGAGAGTCTCTGATGAGGATGATTCATTTGTTATGACTTGAAAGAGAACCAAAACGGAAGGCAGAATCAAAGATCTCTGTGTAACTGAGACCGGGAGACTTTGCTCTTCTCACGCACAGGATATATATATATATACATACATACATATACACATACATTTATATTTTCATTATGCTTACCTGTTTTCCCAGTCTCTTATTAAACTTAGAACACATAAGTTATGTGGGGAGAGAACACATAAGCCAATGTAACCTTTCTTCATGCTGTGTCTCTAAGGTAATTATAGGTACAAAGCCTTTGAAGAGAGGCTCAGGTTGAATTCGCTGTTATAATTACCAAGAGACAGTCAAACCTTTTGTTCCATCTTGTTGTCTGATTTGTCCCGTCTCCTTGCTACAGGTGCCTTCATTTGCAAGATGGTACCATTTGTTCAGTCCACTGCCATTGTGACCGAGATTCTCACTATGACCTGCATTGCCGTGGAAAGGCACCAGGGACTGGTGCATCCTTTTAAGATGAAGTGGCAATATACCAACCGAAGGGCCTTCACCATGCTCGGTGAGCCACTTGGCTGCTCCACTATGCTAATGCTAATGCTGTTTTTCATTTCAGCACAAAAAGAATTTCTGGAAAAAGAATATTGACAGAGACAGCAAGAGTGGCTTCTTGCCTAATTGTAGCTACTGAAGTATCATGGGAGGCCTTGGGGCCTTTCTCCATTTCTCCCCAACCTCGTCCCATTTCTCCCCTAGACCTACTCCAACACTGAACATTTCTGATTCACATTCACGTCTCAGTTTGAGTCGGAAACTTGTAAGCATTACTTCCAGTAAAATTAAAATATTCTATGAATGGTACATTGCCTCCTGAGCATCTGCTAAACTACGAAGATGTCTGCGATGTCGTGCTGAAGGAAGAAGGTCGTAGATTAAGATAAAGAAGAGGAGGCGATTGTGATGGTGGCAGGCCTGGGTGTTTAGTAGTGTGCAGACCAGGGGCGGTGCCCAGTGGGGGTCCTGCTGGGGGTCCGGACACAACACAGACGTTCACAGGCTGCCTGAAAGCACAGGAAGATGAGCACACAAGTGCCTGGCAAACACAAATACCACTGACTTCCAAATTCTGCTCCAGGCAATTCTGGTTCTTCAGCTTGTTACACCCTTTCCTGACTCAGCACGTCATGACGAGCATGTACACAGCGATAAATGTTAAATAGAAAGCAATGTTCTGGTGGTTAGGACAGTTGAATGGAATTTTTTTTCTACTCAATAATTATAATTGAGCTATCTGACACCTTAATATACACCAACGGAGTTCGAGTTGATTATAGCTCGATAATCAGAGGCCTAGTAAGCAACTAAAGCAATAATCAAAGGGAATGATTTTGGTAAAGCTCACACTTGAGAGAAATCAAACATTTATTTCTGCTTTAAAGACTCCACCGGCATTGGATCATGGAATTACAAAACGAAGCCCAGAAAGCTTTGCAATGTTCAACTCATTTTAAATAGTGTGAAATGAATAGATAAATCAATAAGTGAAACATTCATTAGTTTTATTTGGTTATTTTCAAACTCTTGAAATAGCTATCCTATAACCAAAAAAAACCCCTAAATTCTCTTAACTTTTAATAACTAACCTTGAAGATAGGAAATTGTGAAAAACCCGTGTAAGTGTGGAAAGAAGATAAGGTATGCGATTTGTGAAGTTAATAAAAACATGGAGTTAATAAAAAGGACAGAAGAGTGGAGGAAGTCTCAACACTTGAAAGAAAGTCGATAATAAGCAGTGAAGGTGGTTCCTACTCAACAAAAGTCACTAGACGCTGGGACGTTTTCAGAAAAGTAGGCCCATCTCCACAGAGGAGCATTGCAGCATTGCCTGATCGCTCCCTTTTGTTGCACCTTGAACCGGCCGTGTCAGTTATGGGGTCTGTGATGCCCACAAATTCTGGCAGCAGAAACTGCGGGGCCTCTGACCCCTGGCCAAGGGAACCTTGCTAGGCTTTGCTTCCCAGAAGTGGCTCTAGATTGAGTCAGAAATGTACATGGAGATTTCATTTGGCCCTTTACCCCTGAGCAGGAAGAGAGCCCGGCGTGTTGGTGAGTTAGACTTAATTCCTTTAGAATTTGTCTTAAAGGGTACAAAGATAGCTGGCTAACACACACACACACACACACACACACACACACACAGGAGTCAAAATGTTCTTGCAAATTTTTATTATTTTTAATCCCATTTTCTCTTGAGCTTTTAAAAAGAGATAAATATATATAGATATGAAATGAAGCTCTTAGCTTCAACCCAAAAGGTCAGCAGTTTGAACCCACCAGCCACTCTGTGGGACGAAGATGTGGCAGTCTGCTTTAGAAAGATTGCAGCTTTAGGAAACCCATGGGGCAGTTTTCCCGGGTTCTGTAGTGTCACTCTGAATCAGAATCGGCTCCAAGTCAACAGATAATGGCATATTTATGGAGGCTTTTAAAGTCCTGTGGCATTAAAAGATAACGGAACACACACAAACACATCCATGTGAGATACCTCTCATATACAGGGTGACAGATCAGACAGAAAAACGTGGCATCTCAAACTACTTTTGATCATGATGGTATTCTATAGCCAGCTTCAGTGTGTGTGTGTGTTTAAATAATGAACCGCAATTCTCTTAGATGGCTTAACTGCATCCTGGTTGAATGTAGACTGAGGCTACTCAGTACCAATGTAGAAAGAGTAAGCAGAGTTTGGGCCAGGAAAGACTGCAGTGGGGGTTCTTGGTTTGGGCCTCTGCCTAGACTGTTAGGATGCACAGGTTGAAATGCTCCATAGTAGTTTTTCTGCATTTTCCTTACTGAGGGAATATTATTGAAGAAACACCCCTTAACAATTTCATGAAGGTCAAGTAATTTTGAAAGAGAACCATGGTTTCTGACTGTAGGTGTTTATTTGGTAAATCAGAAACTGATGCCTGGATTATATGGTACAGGCAGTGAAAAGCTAGGAAAGAATCTTAAGCCTTGGAAAGGGATTTCAGGAAGCTGGTTCTGGCAGCAGGGTGGCTGGTGTTGAAGGACTGAAGGGACGTGTGAGGAGACTGCCACACTGTTCTAGCGCAGAGATGATGGGTGTGATGAAGTCTTTATTGAAAGATGCATAATGCAGTTTGCTTAGATGACCTGTGTTCTGATGATCTTACTGTTTTCACAGGTTTGGTCTGGTTGGTGGCAGTTATTGTGGGATCACCCATGTGGCACGTCCAGCGACTTGAGGTAGACTTGGGGCTGGGGTAATATTGTCTTTTGAAGTGCTAGTCCACCTCAATTGTAATCACGTCCTTCCTGAAAGAGAATTAACCACACATTTGTCTGAGATCTCGATTACATCACTGAAAATCTTTCAAGTAGATTAAAATAATTGTTCTTTGCTTTATCTAGTGCTCACTTGATTTTGTTATTGCCAAGACTTTAATGTGTAGATTTTTTGAAACTGTATCAGGGTCACTTTTCCTCCCACCTGAGGATGCCTTCGATGTTTTGTTAGCCTTTAAGAGATTGATTGCTCTACATTTTGCAAGCTATATAAAATATATGTGATTGATTGTCTTTCTTTATTGGTTGACTCTCCTTTGGAAGTCCTTCCTGACTTGTCTCCTATCCATTGATTAATTGGACTTTAAGTAGGAAACCATGTTAGGACATCATTTTATCCAAGCCCTGTCCTTCTGTGACACCTTGTCAGGCAGTTCCAGCCTTGCTAGTTATTTATGAAGCTGGGACTTTGTGCTACTTTTATGTATTTCTCTCTGTCCCTGGGACAGACTTTACCATGTTCTGCATAGGTAGTCTGACACAGGACCTGCTAGGATATTTTTTAAACTATGAATCTTTTATTTCCTTTTTAAACTGACAGGCAAAATGTGAAACATAACTTCATCGTCAAATCTTATGTTTTAAGTGATAAGGGAAGAATCAATGTAACTGAAAGCTGAAAGGTTGGCAGTTCAGGTCCATCTGGCAGCCTCTTGGAAGAAATGTCTGGTATTCTGTGTTAAAAAAAATCAGCTAGTTTTGGGAATAATGAGGGCAACAAATGTATAGATGTGCTTTACACAATTGATCTATGTATTGTGATGAATTGTATGAGCCCCAATAAATTGATTAAAAAAAAAATCAGCTAGTGAAAACCTTACAGGGCAGCATTCAACATGGGATCAGCACAGGTGGAAATCAAATCCATGGCAACTGTTCTGTTTATTTTTGGTTTAGCTTGATTATAAGGCAAACATACATTGAAAAAGTAGAATGTTGGTGTAACTGACATACTGCATGCGTTATACTTGAGTAGAAAGAGCAAAAAGCAACTTAAAAGTTATTGCTTGCTGCCTATAAATGCAGTCTGAAGACTTTCCAGTTCCATAGATGACATCCTATGAATAAAACTTGCCAAGCCCTATAGATTTTCCTCTGTTATTTTAAGTCACAACAATAGTGTTCATTCCAGCTTCAAAATGCCCAGTGCTGGGTCTACGACATTAGTCTGTACTGTCAAGGAATTTTAAACATTTCCCTTCCTCCAGCTTGAGTCTTGTTTGGACCAGAGCCTACCACGTGGAACAGCGGCCTGGTTAGCTTCCCGATTTCCTGGCCTTGCATTTCTCTTTCTGCATGCGCTTGGCTGACTTTGACTATCCAGAGGCTGAGGATAATGATGGGAATGAAGCGCAGACATTCTTTGGCACTGGTGCCTTCCGAAAAGGCTGTTTCCCATGATTGATCCTTCACCACTTGACGGTCAGTTTATCATTCTATGGTGGCTCTTATGTTATTGTGATGCTGGAAGCTATGTCACTAGTATTTCAAATACCAGTAGGGTCACCCAATATTGCATGAACAAGTTCAAGCTACATTGAAGGGATTAGCCAAAAGCAAGCCTCCGGGAATGGATGTTGTTTCAATTGAAATGTTTCAACAAGTTGATGATGCACAGGAAGCACTTACTTATGTATGCCAGACATTTTAGAAAACTGCTAACTGGCCAATTGAATGGAAGAGATCCATATTTGTACCCATTCTGAAAAAGATGACCCAACAGAATGCTCAAATTACAGAACAATATCATGGATATCACATGCAAGAAAAAAATTGCTGAAAATCATTCACCAACATTTGTAGCAGTCCATTGACGATGAGCTGCCAGAGGTTCGGGCCAGATTCAGAAGAGGATGTGAAATAAGGGATATAATTGCTGATGATCGATGAACCTTGGCTGAAGACAGAGAATACCAGACAGATGTTTACTTGTGTTTCATTGACTGTGCAAAAGCATTTGACTGTGGATCGTAACAACTTATGGATATACCTGAGAAGAGTAGGACTTTCAGAACACTTTATTGTGTTCAGCCAGAACCTGTACTTGGTTCAAGAGCCAATTGTGAGAACGAAACAAGAGAATATCGCATGGTTTAAAATCAGAAAGAGGTGAGAGTCACTGTAGTCAGCCTGTATGCTGAACAAATAATCAGGGAAATTGAGTTACAGGAAGAAGAAAGCAGCATCAGGATTGGAGGAAGGCTTATTAATAACATGCAATATGCAGATGACACAACCTTACTTGCTGAAAATGAGCACATGAAGCACTGGCTGAGGAAGACTGAGGTTTGTAGTTGTAGCCTTCAGTATGGATTGCAACTCAGTATAAAGAAAACTAAAATCCTCACACCTGGACAAATAGGTAACATTATGATAAACAGAGAAAAAATTCAAGCGGCCAAGGTTTGTATCTTGCATCACTGCCAAACACAGGCAAACCAGATCTGCTTTCTGTGAAGAAAAAATCTGATTTCATTTTTCTTATTATATTAAATGTGTTAATAGACATCCCCATTACCACATTTTCCCTCTTAAATCTATTTTAGAAAGAGAGAAATAAGTACGAGAGAGAGAGAGCGCGAGCGCTAGCTTGTAAGCAGCATGAATTTCTCACCTAGTGGAAATAAAGCACCCTGTCTTCAGTATTTCTCACTGATAAGCCCTGCTTTACTCTCACTTGGCCCTCTCCAGGGTGGTGTGTTCGATGACATTCAAGGGTAGAAACAGTGAAGTGATTAAACTAACTCTATCATCACTTCTGCTCCTTCACTGCATAAAACTTAGATTTCAGAACATCTCAATAGCTGCCAGAATACCTAGTTTGTGTTGGACTTGGCCCTGACTATACGTATATTTTAGGTATAGGACAGCGCAAATCCCAACCATGAGTTTATGCTGTCTTGATCAAAGGAGACTTCACTCATGTCAGTTACTTGAATTGCTTCTTTCTTTAGTGTCCCGAAGTAAGATTTGGGATGTAAATTGGGAGAATAGTGGTTTGGAGAAGAAGTAGATCCATCATGACACTCAGGCACTCTTTCGGGCAAGGGGTTTTGGAGAGAACTGTGCACAGTGAAGCTGTGAGTTAATTATTAGGAGGCTGCCGAATTGCAAAGACATTGGTTCAAACCTGCAAGTTGCCCTGAGGGAGCAGGATGAGGCTATCTGCTCTCTTGTCTTAGTTTCAGAAACTCAAAGGAGTTTCTGCTTTGCCCCACAGGGATGTCATGAGTTGGAATTGCCCTGGTGAGAGGGGTTCGGTTTGATGTGGTACATACAGAAATAGAGGCTATGCGGGTGGTTCCCGTTAAACACTCAGAGCATACACTCGGAAAGTCTTTGTTCAGGCCCCGGGCACGTGGACCTTTCGGAAGACCGCCGTCTTCCTGGCATCTGGCTTTGGGACTTGTCGAGACATCACCTGCAGCACTCACACGAAGTCAGAGGGAGCTGCATTTTCGCATTTCCAGGGAGCTTGGATCTTAAGATTACTTTTCAATATGTGTTCTTATTCTTAGTTGTCTTTGTAAATAACACTTAGATTAGAACCTTTGGTAAGAGTAGTGAAAAAAATCCCCCAAATTCCCTTAACACTGAAGATTGTTGATAGATTTTGTTAGGAATATGGGCGGAACTTTGTCAAGACTGAAATGTATTTTTTTTTTTATCTAGAAAGTTCCAGAGTAACCAAAGTGAAAACCATTTTCATAAATTCTCTCAGTTTTATTCCTGTTACAGAGAATGAAATATGGATGTTCTTTAAATATGTAGTTGGGGTTTGCAATAAGCCCTTATTAGCATTGCTATGATGGCACCCATCAACACTAGCATTTGTGTTATTACTAATGATATTTTTGAACTCAAAAGACTAGCCTTCAGAAAAAGTGTGAATAAATCAGCATCACATTTCCATAAGATACATAACTCAAGGGATTATCATTGAGTTGAGTATTTTCTAGGATGATAATAGTTTGAATCCCAATTTCACACCTTTTTTCAAAGTCTACAAGCTACCCCTTGCTTTCTAATATCTTTCCAAGCAAGGTGTTCATTCCAATAGGAGACAGGAGTGGCAAATTAGGAGCTGTTGGTACTTCTCAACACGAAACCCTAAACCTTTCCAAAATACATCCCTTCAACAATTGAAGAAGTGAAATGATCTAACATTAAACTACATAGAATACACTTACAATGCTTGACAATTGTAATGTTCTTTCACCCAACTGAAAGCATAACTGTAGTGGAAGTAAAAGTTTAAGAAAGATAAAATATGAAATTGAAGATAAGCCCTTCCAATTGGAAGGCAATAAAAAAATGACAAGGGAAGAGCTGCTTCCTCACAGCATAGTCACCCTTAATGATGTGAATCAAGTAAAGCCTTTGGATCTTCATTAGCTGTTGGGTCATGACTTAAAAATAAGAATAAATTGCAGCAAACACCCACTAATAATTAGAATGTTAAATGTACAAAGTAATTGCAAATTGTAAAATAAAATAGATTGCATAACCACGTCCTTGACATGACGGAGTTCACGAAACTGATATTGGCCATTTCGAGTCAGACAGCCATATGCCTTACTATGCTGGGAATGACACATTCAAGAGGCATTCATCATCAAAATGACGTTTCAAGATCTATCTTGAGATACAGTGCTGTCTGTGATAGGATGATCCCCAAACACATACAAAAATTCAGTTAATAGAACTATTCTTCCCCAGAAGCAACAAAGCCCACATGGAAGCAGCACATCAACATGTGTGATCATGAAGGGCTGAAGGGACCAGGCTTCAAGCACCAAAGGCGGGGGAGAAAAAAAAATCATATCATCGTGAATGAGGGTGGCGCGTGATGGGGACCCAATGCCCATCTGTAGACAACTGGACATACCTTGCAGAGGGGT